ATAAGTGAGATTAAAGATATAATTAACCTTATAGTTAAATACACTCATCAAATCATACTATTTTTATTAACCAGACATTGTCCAAAGTTTGAAACTTACATGTAATTGTAATGTATCTTTAGTTAAGTGGTGTCAGTACATCCATACACACAATTACAATACTATCACTTCAATTATTCAGCTGCAATATTAAACAAAACATACCTGGTGCATGTTGGAGGAACATTTGTGTTTGCTAATGTTAGTCTTTGTGTGTATATGTGCAAATGGCTTTTTTTCTCATGCTCAAGTATGCTATTCATTGGTTCATATGTGTATTTGCTTGTAGCTCATTGCATCTCTTGCTGTTTTAACCATGGTTGTTTTATTAATTTCACATAATCCATTTAGTAAACAAAAGTTGTGTTTTGTTGCCATATGCACACTTAATTTTAATTTAACATTGGAGTGGTTTTCACTTAACCCGTGAAATACACTTTAGCATATTACACTTTATTACGCTTTGTCTCTTTTGTTTTCTATTATATTTCTCGGCTATTACACTTTATTACACTTTGACTATTACACTTTGTTTCACGGGTTAATGAGAACCACTCTAATAGAAAACAAAAGATCAGAGACAAAGTGTAATAAAGTGAAATATGCTGAAGTGTATTTCACGGGTTAATGAAAACCACTCTAAAATGTTTMATTGTAATAGAAAAATATTACMACAATTCTGTGGCAATCCTTTAACAGATCCCCTCCATATTTGTATTTACAATGTGTTTGGCTTGGTTTGACGTGTATTGTCCTTTCTAGACTCCTTATGTTCATGAAATTGAAATGTAAAGCTGCTAATATTGTCATGTTATAAATAACAAAAACGAAGTGTATGATTTTAGTCTTATATTTCTATTCATTTGTTTATAGGAAATGCATGAAAGAAAGGCAGCATAAGATAACATCAGCTGTTACAAGAAATACTTCAATTATTTACATCTAGCAAACAGATAAATTATAAAATACTACATCATATTATAGTGCAGACATTTCACTTAGTACTCCTCAAATGAAATAAAAGAATATATTTGGCCGGTGACAAATTGATAATGAACTGATCAAAATAATGATCAGCCTATCTATTGGATTAAATTTCATAATATAAGCTTTGTAAAAATCGTAAGATGAAGAATCTAAAGAATCAAGATTATATTGAAATTATTGAGAATAGTTGCTCTGTTTATTAATTATTATTCTTCGATTATAGTTATTGTTATAAGAAAAGCATGTAAGTAATGGGATCAGCTAATTCCTCATATGATTATGTGTAACTATAATAAATTTATTGATGATCGAGTTAGTCAACAAATGTCAAGCTATAAATTCTATGACTGTGTTCACTGCCTATTGTGGCTRTCTCTTCATAGCCCCAGGTTGTTGGGATCAAACCCTTTTCCAATTTATGTCTTTAATATCCCMGTCAAAGTAAGAAAMCTTTCGACTCCTTCGATCAAACACCAAAGAATCCGTTGAAATTGGCGCGGTGCAATCGCACATTAATCGCTTCTACTTTTCCAAATCAGACTTGTTACTCGGTGATTTGTGCACTGATAGTCCTGTCTTGAGATTGATTATCTTTCTACAGCCCAAAACTAAGCAACGCCACAACATTTTAACGATAAAGTCTTGTTTCTAGTATTTGCCTCGTTAATTCCCTATGTGTTGGACCTATGACGTCATTGGTCCAACTAGACCCATTCTCCTGAGCCAAATCGATGATCAGAGAAAATAATGGCGGACGAAAACTAAATCGTAAATATGTCATACTTCCCATCGAAATATCGAAATGAAACTTTACAGAGTGATTTCTTGTTTATTTATCTTTATGTTGAGAAAGTTTCAGCGGCTAAGACGTAATATTGCAGGTTTTTCAAAACGACCATACATTACGTCCAAGTACCCCTTTCATAATAAAGCGGCTCGTTATAGCATTTATGGTTATGCATGAATTCATGGTTATTATGATTATAAGACATGTATCTATTCGTGAAGTCATTTTCATTGTGACTTTGCGAGAAGATTGGACTTTAGTTGACTGAGATATTTAGAAACTGCTGATTTGAAATAGAGAAATAAGATATGCGTTTATCTTGTACGACTTGTAGAGGGTGGAAAGATTAGATATGGTATACCTGTGCATCTGTGCCATCATCTCTATGAGGCCTCAAGACTCTTACCATTCGTCCCGAACGAACCATTGGTAATAGGCTTAAATACCGGTCATCTCGACTGAATTCAATTGGTGAATCATTAACTTATTCTCGTTGCTGTGAAACATAGACCTTGTGGATGTTGTTCTTGAGATTTCAACGTGCTTATTATTCGAAAGATATAAGGCTGTCACACTCGCGACTTTCAGATTCAACTTTTAATCGCCATAGCAATGAAACAGCAAAGAAATATGGGAACAAATTCACCAATCGTTCCATCGGGACCGTTCTTCATAGAGTGAAGCCCTAATACTGTCGTTCAATCTGATAGAAAATCTTCTTATGAATATGATGGAGAGAAGTGATATCGATTTTGGTTGGATGTGGTATCCCTGTGCATTTGTTCCATCATCTAATTAGGGCTCAAAACTGTTACCATTCGTACCGATCGAACCACTTGCTCTCGTTGCTATGAAATAGAGAACTTATAGTGGAGATACGTTGTAATGACGCAATGCATGTTTCTGTGACAAACGGTATCCCTGTGCAGCTGTGCATTCATCTCTATGAGGCCTCAAGAGTGTTACCATTCGTCCCGATCGAACCATTGGTAATATACTTATACCGGACGTCTTGAAGGAATTCAATTAGTGAATGATTAACTTACTTTCATTGGTATGAAATAGAGACATTTTGTGATCTTGTACAGGTGGGATATGTTCTAGTAACGCAATGCATGTTTGGGTGAGAACCGGTATCCCTGTGCATGTGTGCCATCATCTCTGTTAGGCCTCAAAATTCTCACCATTCGTCCCGATCTAACCATTGGTAATGGACTTATAGCGGTCGAATCGAAGGAATTCAATTGGTGAATGATTAACTTAGCCTCGTTGCTGTGAAATATAGAACATGTGTGATCCTTTACTGGTGGGATATGTTTGAGTCACGCAATGCAAGTTTCTGTGACAACCGGTATCCCTGTGCAGCTATGCATTAATTTCTAGTAGGGTCAAGTCAGCAGGGCTCCAAATTATCACCATTTGTACCATTGGTACGAATGGAGATAGGCTGATGCGGGTCGTATCGATGGAATTCAATTGGTGAATCATTAACTTGTCGTCATGGTTATGAATGAGAGAGATTGTATGAGATTTGCCCGTTAGTATCAGTGTGAGAAATGTTATTAATGCTGTTGGTGGGATGTGTGTAGCCTGTGGAAACATGCACTCATTTGTAGCAGTCGCTTTATTGATGCAAATGGTGAGAGCATTATTCCGGCTGTATACGGAATTCAAGAGGTGAATTATGAACTCAGTGTCATTCATATAAAATAGAGTTTATTTTATGAAATGTGCAAGCAGAGTTGAAAGGTATCTGTTTCTACTTAATAACCTTATAGCTTGTAAGAAAAGGTATTGATTTGAAATCGGATCGACATGAAAAAAGATAACAAACCAAGATTGGATGTCTATAGGTGTATAGTAATGACTTGTTTAAGGTTCTGCTCTTAATTTAGCGAATTAATAAGATATCTTGTATGGATTTTGAAATATAATATGTTTCCGTAGGAATTCGTTGGCGGATCGAGTGGTGTCACGAAAATTATATATTTATATTTCAATCGTTTCAAACCAATGATATCGAGAGTAATATGGGTTATCGTTGGCTATAAATCCAGAATTATATATACCTTTCAATAATATTATAATAATATTTTATGTAGCTTATCAAATCGATTCCAACCTAGGTTAGTAAAGCATTTTTCGAAATAACTAAAGATTAAAATAGCATTTGCAAGAGAATATCGCAGTTCAAGTGGAATGCAAATCGTGAGAAATATTTTTTGCTGATATAAAGATGCAGGAACGGCAACCAAAGATCCAYTTTGCTAACATTATCAATGATTAATTAATTAATGAAGGATCAACTTCCGATACGTAAGGAACTTATTCAACATTCTTTTGAACGGTGTTAAATTTTTATTTTTACAAAAGGATTTCATAATAAAGCGGCTCGTTATAGCATTTATGGTTATGCATGAATTCATGGTTATTATGCGAGCGTATTCTTCAACAAAGTTGTCCCCTATACCTCTTGCGTGATTAGATAGGCCGATTGTTTTTAACGTGAAACATGAATGCAGCCTTTTTCATCCGTGATTCGCAAGTCTAACTTTGTGCGTCCACGCCAATCCCGCTATTTCTTTCTTGAATACCGAAATGAAATATTCATTTAAAGTGCCTATGAAACGAAAAATTGACCACGCAAATTAATTCACCTTAATAAACTTGTGCCTATATGCAATCTTTTTTTCCAAGTTGATGACATAAAAATAATTTGCAAGTGCGTTTTTTTTAAAGAAAAAAACAGCTAGTTTTTGTAAAAATCGTAGTCAAGGGACTGGTGCCGAGTGACGTCATTAGTTGTGTAGCCGCTTTTACTGTGCGTTTCCAAGTATGCGAATTNGTCGGAAGTTTCTGTACTCCCGATCGAGTCTGTACTTTCTCCATCGTCACACTACACAATACAAAAACAAAATTATGTGAAACTCAAAATATTATATACTACACGTTGTATTTATGCTTATAAACTTACATTTTTGCTGCTTATCTCTTTCAACTGGCGAATTTTTCTCCTAAGATAATGATTATTTTTCTGCACATTTCGCAGCAGCTTTGCCCTCTTTGAACAATGCGAACACACTGTCATTTTGCTTGTAACTGGGATTTTTGCTTCGTTGGGTTTTGAGAACTCCACACACTCTACCGTTGAATCGACATCACTTGTAACCTTGAGTGCATTCTCAATTATCTAAAGGACAAAAGATCACAATAAAATATTTCTTTTAATGACTCATTAAGTAAACTTAAATTAATTATAATAAGCGGTCAAATGCAAACTTTAGCTAAGTAGAAGCTTACCTTTTTCTTGTCACGTCGAGACAAACTATTACAAGTAATTGGCGTGATGGCAGTGTCAACAGATGGGACTGATCCTTTTACTAAATGTCTTTTGGTTATGAAGTTTGAAGCTTCATTTCCAAGTAACTCTGCTCTTCTTGAGAAACAGTCGTCGGTGAAGTGTACAGAGCACAAAACTGAACTTTTTGAAGGCTTGAAAGTTGGCCGATGTTTCTGTACAAATTTAGTCCATTTTCGGCGTACAACTTCGTCAGAGGGAAACATGTGCATAGAAATGTTTTGGGTTTGACTATTGTTTGTGCAGCTGACGTTCCCTGGGCCGCCAGCTACGCAAAATTTTCCACTCACTCTACTACGCGTGGACGCCATATTGTCAAGGGCCCAGGACAACATGTACACAACTAATGACGTCACATGGCCGCGCGTAAAATGTCGCAACTTTTAACCTGACCGACGGTAATTCAGACTGAGAAAAAATATTCTTTCCTTCAACCAATGTCGATCAAATTTTCAGATATAATTTAGAATCTCTAAAGTTTTTTAATAAGCCATTAATATTTGATTTGAAATTTTCGTTTCATAGGCACTTTAAGGTGTTTCGATCGTAATAAATAGCGTTTCGCGTGTATTTTGAAACTACAACTACGTCGCAAATTTCGATTCAATTGCACTCAAATTTTCACAGAAGTCACAGTGATTATCGATAATTCTTGTTGATAAATTAATTTGCCAAAAAGCTAAAGCCATTTAGATAAACGATGCAAAATAAAAAYAMCTTCATTTTTCTTCAAARTTAATTTTCTCGAAACTCATCGCAGAGATTGTAATAAAATTTTCAGAATCATTTCTTGATAACATAATTGATATACTGACGAAGTTTCAATAAAATCTTAACCTAAAATTTCAAGTTGTTCGAATGTATATCATTTTGCTCAAACAAATCGAAATATTAGGTTAAGATTTTATTGAAACTTCGTCAGTATATCAATTATATTAAAAAAAATTATTCTGAAAATTATTCTGAAAAAGTTTATCCAAAGGGATAAACTAGATACTCTCCACGATGAATTGACAACGGCACATAATGTTCTCAGCGACCATTCCGAAATTAAAATGTCTTCGTACTCATGGTTCGACATAAGGGACTGAGAATTCACCGAATGCCGTATCAAATTTACAGAAAAAATAAGATATCAAGAAAAGGTTTCCCGCGATCATGAATCCGTTTATAGTCGCCGGGCTAGTCAACGATCACTTCAGAGTCAACTCGATCTTTGTTGCTGAGAGCATCAGTTACCTCCGCAAAATTAAAGGCYGAAGCCAAATTMCATACGAGAGAAAATGAACTAAAGCATTTGTCTTTAATGAAGGATATCGCAATCGCCGAGGCGACTTCAACGCCAGGCTCGGTACAGCGGATGCACGTTTTCCATTCCACGAAAACACGAATCGGAACGGTGGATACCTTGCCGACCTCCTGACTGAGAACAACCTGCTCGCACCCAACACGTGTTTCAAGAAACGGGCAGGTAAACAATGGACCTTCCAAGACAATGCCACTGGAGCAAAGCGCCAATTGGATTACATTCTAGTGCGCTCAAAGTGGCGCAACAGCGTTCTAAACGCGGAAGCTTACAACACCTTCCTTAGCCTAGGCTCCGATCATCGGGTAGTTGGAATGAAGGTCCGCCTAAGCCTGAGAGCACCTAAACGTCCCAGCAAGCATCCACCCTATGATTGGAAACGGTTTGCGATGTGCCCTAAGATCCAATCAATGTACAACGTGGAAGTTCGCAACCGTTTTCAGCCTCTTGCTCACTGTGAAGATCCCTCTGAGCGCTATATGCAATTCATCGAAGCCAACGAACTAGCAGCAAAAGCTTGTGTACCAAAGAGGGAGAAATGCCGTAAGCCTTTACGATCAATGCACCCTGATGTCGTCAGTGCAAGAGAAGGATTAAATAGAGCTTTGAAAGTATCCTCCGATTCCCAAGCCATCAGCGTGGCTAGGCACTCTTTGTATAGTGCTTACGACCGTCTCCTAGCTGAAGACATCGAGAAGAAAGTGCAGCATGTGGAACAGGCTCACAGGAGTAGTCAATATGGCGAGGCCTGGAGGATTGTTAACCCAAATAAGTGGCCGCAAGAAGTCATCTGCAGGACGGATTGGTGGTACATGCCCTGAGGAACGAATCAATAAGTGGTTCACCCATTTTAAGAACTTGTTGGGCTCGCCAATCCCTGCGAGAAAGGATGACGACTTCGATCTAGACATTCCAGAGGTGCTCTACGATCTAAGCATTGACGATGGCCCTTTCTCTATGGAAGAGTACACCCGAGTAAGAAACGCCCTGAAGCTTGGGAAGAGTGCGGGACCTGACAACATCCCACCTGCGGTCTTGAAATGCTGCCAACTCGATGATATCATCCTATCGTTCTGCAACCGGGCCCTCGAAGACGAAGGGAAACCTGATCAGTGGTCTCTAGGTAACATCATTCCCTTGCCAAAATCGGGGAATCTCTCGAAGGTGGAGAACTATCGAGGCATAAGTCTAACATGTATTGTTGCTAAGATCTACAACAAGATGATTCTCAATCGAATCCGCGGGCCAATCGATCCTCATCTTCGTTTCAATCAAAACGGTTTTAGACAGGAGAGATCTACCACAAGCCACATCCTAGCTCTCCGGCGCATTCTCGAGGAGGTTCGCAAGAACAACTTACCTGCTGTAATGACCTTTCTGGACTTCAAGAAGGCATTCGACACGATTAACCGGGCCATGATGTTTAAGATCTTAAAGGCCTACGGAATCCCGCCAAGACTACTGAGTGCAATAAAAGCAATGTACTCTGGAACGCGTGCCAAGGTTGTAACAGAGRACGGCGACTCCGACGAGTTTGAAATATCGGCTGGTGTTCTACAAGGCGACACTTTAGCATCTTTTTGTTATCTTGCTCGACTACGCTCTCCGTCAAGCCATCAATGGACGAGAAACAGAACTGGGGTTGACACTCAGTCCTTGCAGATCCCGCAGATATCCCGCCAAGGCGATAGCCGATCTCGACTTTGCTGATGATATCGTTCTTCTGTCGGACGACCTTTTCCAGGCTCAAACACTACTTGCAGTGGTGGAAGAAGAATGTCGGAAAATTGGCCTTACAACAAATGCACAGAAAACTAAAGTGATAGCGGTTAACATACCACTTASTGCACTTCAGACAGTCAACGGAGTGTCTCTCGAAACGGTGGATGACTTTAAGTAKCTGGGTTCCTGGATTAACAGCACCTCRCAAGACATCAAGGTACGAAAGGCAATGGCATGGAAGGCTCTGAACAATATGAGCATAGTGTGGAAATCGAGCTTGTCACGTGAGCTCAAAATCAGATTCTTTCGGGCCACTGTCGAGTCTATACTGCTGTACGGTAGCGAGTGCTGGTCTCTGAATTCCTCAACACGGAAGTCCATAGATGGCACCTATACTAGGATACTCCGGGCTGTCCTCAATATCAGCTGGCGTGACCTTGTTCCAAATGACATCCTTTATGGGAACCTGCCGCTTATTACTGACCGGATAGCCTGGAGGAGACTTGGCCTAGCTGGTCACTGCCACCGCCACAGGGAGCTCCCAGCTAGTCAGCTGGTCCTGTGGGAACCGGCTCACGGCTTTAGGAGGCCTGGAAGGCCAGCCACTACCTTTGTGGACACCCTCAAGGAGGACACGGGCGCGACCACCTCAGCCGAGCTTTCCGCATGTATTTTGAATCGCCAGGATTGGTCTTCCAGACGTGAGGCTCGGCTGAGGCCGCCATGATGATGATGATGACTAGAAATGGCTGAAATTGACAAAAACATCGCGTGATTATGACTGCTCAAAAACGCCTTATTTGATCCATTTAAAACAAATAAAGACATCAATCGACTTCATAATCGCCAATGAAAGATAATAATAAACATGTCGAAATGTGGACAATTTTGCGATTAAAAAACTTCTTGATTTACTAGACTTTTTGAATATCAATTKTTCCTGCCCGGTATATTTTTGATTTTCTTGATATTTTGTATTTCGWTAGAGGAAAGATCGGTCTTTAAATATATACAAAAATTTGTCTTGGGATATTTATATTCTTGGAGATATTGCGATTTAAAAAACGACAAAATCACGGCTGAAAATGAACGGCTGAACATCGAATTCAGGGACGCCGGAGACGGGGGTGACTAGGGGGGCTATACCCCCCCCCCCAACTTTTTCATTCCGAAAATAGAAATTAAGAAATAAACGCAAAGTATACTCCTATTGAATCGTGTTTTTTTTGTTTTTATCTTAGTGATAAAATACTTAGATCGTACTTTAGTTATAACTTTGAATACTTAAGCCGCTTAATTACCTATCTAAACCTCCATAAAGAGGTATATGTGCACAAACAGCTCAACAGCGGGGGGCTGCTAACATAAAACATATATGACATATTATTTTGAAGTCTGAAATAGTAATCGCATGAACTTCACATGTTTTCAAAAGAGTATTAAAGAAACTTGGCCATCTTCTGTGCCATACTTGTGGATTAATCTTACATTCCGATTGGCGTCGCTACTCCGGATCTATTATTAACAGTCCTACAAATGTGAAAAGTGGCAACTTTGATTTTCTTTTAGAAATATTGTGAGTCATTATATCGATGTTTCACCAGCGTGTAGTGCATTGATTTTCAAAACAAACATGCCAAGTGTKTAAAAAGACGCCGGAGATAATTTATGCAAATTTAGTGATTGCGAATTTTGAGCAATAAATACTTACTGTTATTATATATACAACTTTGTTATTATATATTTCATTTCTTTTTTTTTCAAACTAGAATGGTAATCCTAAAAGGCAAATAGACATCTCATCAGTCTTGTGGAATTAGAGCTGATAGCCCATGGGTCAGAATTAAGCCTTTGGCTCTGAGCTGAGGTCTGATTGTTAAATAAACCCTTTATTTCGATACAAATATTGAATAGTGTTCTGTATTGATAATTTTATATCAAGAGAATCAATTTCTACATTATAATATACAGACAATCATGATAAGCCTTCATTGCGTGACACTGAAGGTCGCGACAACTCAGTCACACGTCTGATTGTCTGGAGTTGTTGTCAAATTTTGATGTGATTTTGTCATTTTTTAAATCGCAATATCTCCAAGAATATAAATATCCCAAGACAAATTTTTGTATATTTTTAAAGACCGATCTTTCCTCTATCGAAATACAAAATATCAAGAAAATCAAAAATATACACCCTTTTAATAAGTCCCGAGGTATTACGTTCTCCGCACTTGACGTCAAATTTATTCTTTTGAATTCCTTTTGTATTGCAAAAATTTCAAAAGAATAAATTTGACGTCAAGTGCGGAGAAAAAACAATACCTTGGGACTTATTAAAAGGGTGTATACCGGGCAAGAAAAATTGATATTCAAAAAGTCTCGTAAATCAAGAAGTTTTTTAATCGCAAAATTGTCCACATTTCGACTGCTTTTTATGGTTTTAAAAATGAGTTTGCGAAGTCAAAATTTACATCCAGATGTTTATTATTATCTTTCATTGACGATTATGAAGTCGATTGATGTCTTTATTTGTTTTAAATGGATCAAATAARRCKTTTTTGAGCMGTCATAATCACGCGATGTTTTTGTCAATTTCAGCCAWTTMTAGTCAGTGTCAGGTTTTTCTAAATTTCTCGCGTTTAAAATAAAATTTTCGAAAATAAACCCCACCACGATTCTTAGTATATAATAGGGTMTCARTGGTTAAAATATGAAGAATTTTGATTTTTCATCATGTGCCACGTATTCTCGATTTTGCTCGGTTTTAGTGGACATTCGCTCTTAAGCAATTAGGTGTTGAAGGTCCTAAAACCACCATCCAGCTGAACACCATGCACGGTCAGCAGCGAGCCAGAGTCAACAAGATCAAAGGGTTGATCGCTGAACCAATGATTCACGCTGGAGGTCCAATCGACTTGCCAAAGACATACACAAGTAATTTGATTCCTTCATTCAAAGCTCAGATACCTACACCTAAAGTAGCCAGCAAGTGGCCTCATCTCCACGGGATAAAGGATCAACTCCTTCCGATACAGGACATGATAGTGGGAGTTCTCATTGGCTGCAATTGCCCTAACGCACTGAAACCAAGTGATGTCATTCCTGGAGGGGAAGACGATCCTTATGCTGTGAAAACGTCACTTGGTTGGGGTATACTGGGACCAGTTAATCTGCAAACGGAAGAGGACGAATTCACCTGTCACCGGATCGTAGCTACGTCTCGTGGAGCAAATCACAGTGTGAAATTTGTCACGAAAGCAGAAACGAAGGAAATCATTAATCCGGATGTCATAAAGACTATGTTCGAACAGGACTTTTCGGAGAAAAAAACTGGAAATGCTACACTTTCTCTGGAAGACCGGAAATTCTTAGACAAAGAAGGTATTCGCCATCTACCGGACGGTCACTACGAACTACCGTTGCCGATCAAGAACGGTCTCCTTAAACTGCCAAATAACCGCGCGATGGCGTACAATCGCTTGAAATCTCTACGAAGAAGACTAACATCAGATGAAACATATCGTAAATACTATGTCGAATTTATGAACTCTATGCTAGAAAAAGGATACGCCGAACCAGCGCCGCAAGTGGATAGTGAGCAGAACACGTGGTACATTCCACACCATGGTGTGTACCACCCCAAAAAGCCTAATAAAGTACGAGTAGTATTCGACTGCTCAGCCCAATACGGAGGAGAATCGCTGAACAAGCACCTACTTCAAGGGCCGGATCTGACCAACAACTTAAGCGGTGTCCTTTATAGATTTCGGAGAGAATCGATAGCTATCATGTGCGACATTGAAGCCATGTTCTACCAAGTGCAGGTTCCGGAGGATCATCGAGATCTGTTGAGATTCTTGTGGTGGGAGGATGGTGATACGTCAAAAGAGCCAAAGGAATATCGAATGACTGTTCACTTGTTCGGCGCTGCTTCATCTCCTGGTTGCTCTAACTTCGCCCTAAAGACCACAGCTGATGACAGTGAAGCTGCCCTGATTTTGTTCGTCGAAACCTTTACGTCGACGATGGGTTGACATCAGTTTCTACGGTCGACAAAGCCATGAAGCTGGTCAGCAACGTTAAAGAGTTGTGCAGACGCGGCGGTTTTAATCTTCACAAGTTTACGTCTAACAGCCAAGAAGTCCTTCGTCATTTTCCTGAGGCTGATAGAGCAGAAAAAGTAAAGCAACTAGAGTTTAATCATGTCACTCAGACGTCAGAACGAGCACTTGGAGTACTATGGTGCAGAGATTTAAACGTTTTCAAATTCACAATAACCTTGAAGGACCGACCATGCACTAGACGAGGGATCCTTTCGCCGGTGAGTTCGATATTTGATCCGTTGGGATTCCTAGCACCTGTAATGCTCGACGGAAAGTCAATTCTACAAGAACTCTGTAGTCTTAATATCGGTTGGGACGATCCAGTACCAGAAGAGATGGAAGCACGATGGCGTAACGGGAAGACTCGCCTACAACAACTCGAGGGTTTCGTAATATCGCGTTGTTACAAACCCGAAGGTTTCGGTGTGGTGGTCAAAGCAGAGTTGCATAACTTCTCCGATGCCAGCTTCAAGGGTTACAGCCAATGTAGTTATATCAGGCTGGTAAACAGCGAAGGTAAGATGCACTGCTGCTTTCTAACGGGGAAGTCCAGAGTTACACCCTTAAAGAAGATGACAGTTTCTCGTTTAAAGCTCACAGCGGGCGTCGTTTCCGTTCGCGTAAGTGAACAGCTGAAGAGAGAGCTCGACATGGAGATAACGAACGAAGTCCTCTGGACTGACAGCAAAGTAGTTCTCGGATACATCGCCAACAAAGTGAGGAGATTCCACGTGTTCGTTGCTAACCGAGTTCAGGAAATCCAAGAGAAATCATCAGTCGATCAGTGGAAGTACGTCGATACGAAGCACAACCCCGCCGATGAAGGATCTAGAGGTTTACGAGCCGATGAAAGGCAAGATGTTTCTGCAGCACAGGCCTACGAACTGCCAACTAATGATCCAGAAATCAAGAAAGGCGTTTCTATGGAAACAACTGTGTACGCAGAGCCAGCAGAGGAAGGCGGTCTCTCAGTGAGCTTGAAGCACATCTCAAACTGGTTCCGAGCCAAACGCGCCATAGCGCTGTGTGTCAAGTTTGCAGCAAGACTACGCGACATAACAAAGCGATCAAAACCAGTAGAAGTTAGCGTAACCGATTTGAATGATGCAGAATTAAAAATTTTACGAGGCATTCAAGTAGACTTCTACAGCGAAGATATCACCTCTATAAAGAATGGTAGACAAAGGGACTCCACAAGTGGACTACAAAAGCTGAATCCATTTGTTGACTCCGATGGACTGCTGCGTGTAGGAGGACGCTTGCGACTTTCTACCCTCGCTAAAAGCATCAAATTTCCTGTCATTCTTCCCGCTAAAAGCCACATGACGTCGTTGTTGGTGCATTTTCACGAAAGGCTTAAACATCAAGGACGTAGCTTCACTCTCGGCGAGCTGCGAGCCAACGGCTATTGGATCATCGGAGGAACCAAAGCTGTCGGAAGCTTGATTGACAAATGCGCCATATGCAACAAGCTTCGCGCCAAGGTCCAGGAACAAAGGATGACGAATCTACCGGAAGATAGACTTCAGACAGCACCACCCTTCACCAACTGCGCCGTCGACTATTTCGCTCCATTCTTGGTCTAAGATAGAAGGAAAGAAATCAAAAGGTACGGTGTATTATTCACTTGTCTGTCATCTCGAGCAATACACCTGGAAGTAGCTAACAATCTAGAGACGGACTCGTTTCTCAACGCGTTCCGACGTTTCGTAAGCCGTAGAGGTCCCATCAACACGCTAAGTTGCGACCAAGGCACTAATTTTGTAGGTGCCCGCAGAGAATTAGCGGAAGGCATGGAAGAAATGGACCAAGCTAGAGTAAAGAAAGAGCTGCTAAAGGATGACTGCGACTACTTTACCTTTAAGATGAACGTCCCAGCTGCAAGCCACATGGGCGGCGTCTGGGAACGTCAAATAAGGACGGTGCGCAATGTTCTATCCGCTATCTTGCAAAAGAACAGCTCACAGCTAAACGATGAATCCCTTAGAACCTTCATGTGTGAAGTAGAGGCCATCTTCAACTGTAGACCCCTTACAGTTGAAGGTTTATGGGGAGTATGACCATATTGAATTCGGGGAGGAGCTCCAGTCACAACTAGATAGGGTCGACTTGCCAAATTTTCTATACGAAGAAGAGCAGGAGGAATTTCATTAGCGCCATGTTTGAAATATATAATATGATACAATAAAATACTGTAGTGCATTGCCATCATTAGACTATAATTGTAACTATAAACTGTATCTGTATAAAGCGTTTTCAGCATCGTTGAATCCAGCAGTGGATAATAAATGTATTGTTTTGTAACCTGACCTGTCAACTTCTCGTGATTTAACCAATACTTTTTAATACTCGAAGATTTTCAACTACTAGCAAATCGCTGTGTCGTATTTGGATGCAGCAATATATCCGATAGATCAAAAGGCATTTTAATGCATTTTTTTCCAAAGAACAAGTCAGACAGCGATAAGTGGAAGAAGTTTTTCCGGATGAAGAGCGCTGATTTCTGTCCAAGCGGTAGATTTGTAGTGTGTTCCGCACATTTTGAATCCAGTTGTTTTACAAGAGCTGTTCACATACCTGGCATGGAAAGACATTTGCTACCCAGATCCATACCCTCTATCTGGAATCCTGGTCACAGTGAGGTTTCAATAAGTGAGAGAAGTCGTCGTCTTGTAAGTATTCACATAGTAGACTGGCTATGTTTTGTTTATTACAAGAGATATCGGAATCGGTGTAATACATCATAAGAATTCTTTACTTCCAGCTTTTGTTAAACTAAAATAAAAACCTTGAACTASATGTGTAGTTAACGAAGGGAACGCGAAGAATATAAAAAGTAATTATAGTTTTGTTAGTATACGTTCATCGCGCAAAAGGTGTGATATTGTCAAACTCTACAAGATCGTGTTAACTCACGTTCTGAAATGCACATAAGCTTAAAAGCATTTTCAAATAGTTTAGGTCTCCGAGATGAATCGATAAATGCTAKCGTCTTTTAGGTTTTCAGAATATGAAAAGGGGAATAATAAAGTAGACTTTTAAACGAAGCTTTATGACWATAGAGGTTGCCTCGCCGCCYGCGCATTGATTACAAATTAGTCGGGATTTTATTTATCGATATCTTTTGATTTGCATGTAAAGTAACTTATTTTCAAATCGATCACTGGTAGAGTAATAATGTTTTTCTTTAAGGCTATAAAAAACATTCTTCAGCCCACCAAAGATGCACCGCAACTTGAATCTGTTTCGAGATTACACGAGACTCAAAATGCGACGAGTTTAAACTCAAATCAACAAGATTCTTGATTCTTGATTCTGAAATTTCAAGTGGAGTCGATCATGAAACTGGAGCTGCGCGCGACATTTCTGTCGAGCAGTCAGCTAATACTGCTGATCTGGAAAGCTGTCAAGAGGTTAGTTATAATTAAAAAAAATGTGAACTCATAGATAAAAAGTAAAGTTTATATAAACGTCGGCTTTTTCGTATTTCGATGTTTTATCGCTACAAAAGCTAAAGCTTAAGACACCTCCCTTTCTTTCCCCACCATGACCACAATTTTTCTAATTTTCATACAAACTATCGTCGAAACACCAAGCACGACAGGCGAGTCGGATAAAGACTCTTGTGAGAGCTGTTCATATCTGGAAGCTGAAGTACTTAAGAGAGCATGTCCATAAAAATCAAACAAATCTGATATTTWGTGGCCASGRCTSAAAAATCGATTTYRCTCAAATTTTGTCCAAATATACTTTATTGTATCCTAAAATACACTGAATAGTTTTTGAAGTAAAATATATTTTGGTTTTCGAGAAAATGCCGTTTTAAGAGAGGCACCCGAAAACCGTAATTTCATGGGCCAAAATGTACACTAACATTACCGGCTGAAAACATTGGCAAAACGATTTGTATGACTTTTAAACCCCGCAAATTCTTTTCTCCCTACTATAAATATACCATAGCGTGAATTTCCGGTAATTCGAGAAACTTTTTGTAGCCGAAATCATCGCAGTTTCAGAGCATTAGATTCTCCTCGATTCACAATAGCCTCTAAACAAAGTCGATTTTCACCATGCGATAAAGCTCAAAATCAAAGAAAGAGCTTTCTAATGATATAAATATTACGCTTGGCAAATAAATACGTAACATGCGACAGCTCATTGAAATGGACGAATTTTGACCTTTGGAGGTCAAATACAAAASATAAACAAACACACTAGGCGGAGAACTCTGTCAAACATTCAGATTATTTTGCTTTTCCAACAACGAATTGGACTTCAAATGGCACTT